CGCCGCGGCTCTATATCCAGCACCAAGCCCGTTACGCTGCTTCTTGCAGTCACGGTAGCACGGGATCAGATAGAGAACCAGACCGCATTTCTGACAAGACGCAGGACGCAATCAGGCGGGCCGTCTGTGCCAAGAGGATGAAATCCTTTGGAGCCGGTTAGGTACTGCGATTGGACCGCCCTAGAATCATACTATGTAAGTGAGCACCTAACCTTAGATAGTGTACACCGACAATTTGAAGCATGCAGAAGAGAGACCAGAAGACATGGAGGGTACCTGTAGTTAGGTTGTTAGGCTGTTAGGCTGTTAGGCGAGATGGACCCAGGTTATCGGGCTTAGTTGGTTAGCTGTCAACTTTGGTGTCTTTGGAGTCTTTTATTAGAACTTTGTAAGAACTTTTAAGTCGAATTAACTGACTAACCACCCAACCTAGTTAATTATACATAATACATAATTCAGTCTCGAAGAATTGATTGGATATTGAATAGCACGACCTAATGGAGCCAATGAATATACCCTGAAGGGGTATTCACGTGACTGAATATGCATGCAGCGAGCCGCTCCCGTAAATTGAACCCCGTTTTATTTTATTTTTTACCTTACTAGTAGACTTAGCAGGTTGTTTGCTGGCCCCCGAATCGCTGCCGAGTACATAGTACGGTGGATACCGAGCCAAGGCAAGTCCGCACAACTTTCCTTTCTTCGTGCTCTCTGTGTTTCAATTTTACAGTACATCCAATCCGGAATAATACTCAAAAAGCCCCCCGGGCAAGCAAGATCCGCACAAGAAATCTAAAACACCTACCCACAGACACCGATATTAAGCTTATATCTTGAACTTTTTTTTTCTTTTTTTTTTCTTCACTAACAGGTACCTTGCCGATAATCTACAACTAGTCATAGCGGTAGAGGAGTATCACTAACTACCTGGTACAGTTTAAGAATATGGAATAGATCATCCCCCTTGTACGTATTACTAGTAACTTCGCTGGTAGGCAGAGAAACCCCCTCACCCTCTCAAGCATAAAGAACGTAAGGGAGATAACCTCGATCAATGCTTTGTTCCGAGTAGGGTTCCAACAGCAGGGAAACCCCTTTTAACATGATCGCGCTGAATGTCTGATCACTACTGTCACAAGCCCATCTCTCATGCGTTACGGCAGCGCCTAATATAGACTATTCCGTACGTAAGTAGAGGCGAGTCAGTTTGACAGCCTCTCGCTTACCCAACCAACCTTCATCTCTTTTGCTTTGAAGGACCGTCCACCCGGCCTTATTGGCTGGCACGGGTATAGCCGAAACCAGCCGGCGCATTCTTATGAGAACCAGGAAAGCCGGCATGGACCAATAAAGCAAGAAAAGACGCAGATAATCTGTCGATATTCACACTAATATCCACGCTAATATTCGTATCAACTTCCGAACTACTGGGGAAATTGGCGTTCGGACCCCACCGCAAACGTCTTGCGTCGCACTCCGGCCCACCTCCTCTTAACCTATCCGTCCACGTACGTAGTGCGGTCAGTGTGTATTTCATGTATCGTTATGTAGACGGTAGACCGGGGATGCATGTCGCTGATATAATGTTGTCCTCTAGAGTCGAGGTTCTAGACTGCTGATCAGCACACTCCCATGATACCTGCCGCTACTACTATGTAGACCTTGGCGAGCGTCGCATCCGCTAGCATTTTGGAGAATGGCATAGGACGTGGTATGCTCAGCTACGTAGGGTGCTGCTATTTGAAGCGTCGTGCGACGCAGACGTCGTCAAACAGCCTGCCTAATCTCGATCTACACCACCGAACTAAGCAAGGAATATCCTACATCATAGAGGGGCGAGATGGTTCCTCCCTATATCTATCTAGCTCCCATTTAGAAAGGCGCATACAGCGGATTTAACTACCAAGACGTAATCGGGCGACTTGGCGGGAACTATTGGACAGCTCGGGCCTTTGCAGCAGAAGGTCTCGAACGACGGGAAACTATTTTGAGAAGGCTTTTTTTGGTGCAATAAGGAGAAGGTTATTGGATGTATAAAGAGGTTTACGCATTGTTTGCGGCTATATGTAATCAGGCTCGAGACTACTCAGGCAGCGGGTAGTCCGACGCCACGTTTTCTCCGCTGCACGCAAACACCGCTAATATAATTATGTCCCATCTAGGCGAAGCAAGAGGAACGAACTCGTAGGTGGCTCAGACGTGCATGTGGTGTAGGTAGGAGCCGACTGCAAGCGCACGACGCAGACTACTACTAATGTATGTTAGCTGTTTGACCTTAAAATACCTATTCGGCCTTCCCTCTAATAGCCGGGTCTACACGGTATCTACTTAGGATTAACAACCCCGAGCCCGAGGCGGTATAGAAGTACAGAAAGAATATTGATAGATCTACCTTTGTACAGATACAATGCTTCGTACACCCGTGACAGATTTTGCAGGTGTGACTGTGATGGAATAGAGATGATCATATACGACGGCGGCTTAGAGAAGCGGCGGTGAGATTCTATCGAGGTAAATACCTTGTATATTTGAAGCTATCCATTCCACCAAAGCCTACCTAGAATACGGAACGTACCTAATATAATGTATATATATATCTTATTAAGGCAATAATACTATCACATTCCCTGGATTGCATGGATTTTATAGATTCTACTTACGCCTTCTTAGCCTCCAATTGCGAAGCCTGATCTGACATCTAGGAGGTAGATACGAATGAATATACATGTAAAGACGGAATTACCCGGTTAAGGTAACGATCCTTTGGGTCCTGCATATCAGATCTCGTTACACCAACCTCTTCCTCTTCCTCTTCTGCCTCACACTTGCACTCACACTCGCACACACACTCCATCTTCATACTCTTACCCTCCCACTTCTAAATACGCGCTTACCTCACCGTTGCATTAAAACTTAACCGACGGCGCTTATAATCACATGTATAGATAATTGACCGTGGACGCATAAGGGCATCCAACACCCAACCTACGTAGATGTACATATGATATATAACCTACCTTAGGTATGCAATCAATAGTTACCTAATGTACTTCAAGACCACATATATAAGAGGTTCCATGAGATATCGATATAAGTCATCAATTGTAATATATGTACCTCTTGCATACAAATTATGAAAGTTGCTTCTCTAGGTAAATAGGTAATTCAATACCGCCTGCCGCCAAAGAATGCACGTTGGTCGGAGCTACCTGCTACGTTAGGTGTTACCAGCGTTACCAGCGTTACCTACCATGTACATGGGTTGAACCAAAGGCAAGGTGGATGGAAGGCGGGTGGAAGGTACAATACAAGGAGGTAAAAAAGGCAAGAAGGCAAGCAAGACGGAAGTTACATTGTACTTGTACCTACATTGCACCTAACTTCTCCAACATAAGGATAATTTTGTGAGAAGTCGGAAGATCAGCCGTATCTTTTACCTTTTCATCTTCTCGTCCCGTGCCTGAGAAGCCCACACAAACATAACCTAATATCTTTAGTACCTAGTGTACGAAGTAGTCGTCCTGAACCCGGATATGAGGATGAAGGAACATAGGGTTGCATCGTCATTTCTTACCCATTCATCCGCCTCGCGATTTTCTAATTTTCTAACCTACCCCCGTTGTATCTAAGCATACAATCCCTTGCTGCCGGTGCGGCAGCAATTGTTACGACTGGTTCCCAACATGATCCAACCCGGTGGGGAATACCATGCTTTTTTCATCTTGCTACTATACCTATTCCTCGTGCATTTTATCCGACGTGCAGGCTGACAGCATACAGAGAAACCCAGTTCGGCCAAGCGCTAAGTCGATGCCCAAAGCTCTCATCACGCGCAAACCGTTCGAACCTTGTGATGTACGTGCGTGCTGCCGTCGCTGTCGTTGTCGCTGTCGCTGTCGCTACCGTGGTAGTAATTGGTTCAAACTATGTTACCTGGATTTGCACTTTTAAGCCTTCAGCCAGCTTGTCTCTTTTATCACAAATAATTGCGACGCATCGGCAGTCCTGATGCCATCCATGTTCGTTTTTTCATCAATTCACCCCACCCTTATCGCAGACGCACTTCCGTTTTCTTCACCTTGCAGATGCCTGTGACGCCGTATAATACAATCCTACCTCTTGCGTCCTCTTGCGTCCTCTCACCCCAAACCACTTCATGCTTGGTACGCTCGGTCCCTTGCGGCTAGACCCAACCTAGGGCCGACCCAGACTCGCCTCTGCTTTGATGCCTTGTCCATGCAACAACGCCAGCCATACCATCTCAAAACGCAAGAGGCGTGCTACAGCAGCAAGCTTTACATATGCACTTCCTCTTGTGACTACGGTCCGCTGCGAAGCTTGCAGATCCACTTGCATAGCCACAGTAAACCAACCCGTCCTTAGCCTTTCTTAGCCTCCAAACCTGCCTAGAAATCATGACTCATCGTATATTCAAACGCCGTTAGAACGGATAACGTAGCACCGCGCATCCTACCGTCCCCGCCCCTCAAAAATATCCCAGCTGCATCTGCGGGAGGCACTGTCCGAAGCGCACCTGCCAGGGGGTAGTAGTAGAAAGAGAGAGAGAGAGAGAGAGAGAGAGAGAGATCCATCTGAACCATGCAAGGCATGGGTATTATATAGTTGTAACCGCTAAGGGAACCAACTCCACGATTCCGTAGCCCATCGGCTCCATTGTTACTTTCACGGTTACAATGATCGGGCCTGCTGTGACGTGCCGTCCTATCCTCCTCTTTCCCACCGTTTCTCCCGGTTTTTCCGTTTCGGTCCATGCTAACCGTACTACGAAGTACAGCTAAAGTAAATTAACGTACCTTAAGTAGGTAGGTTATACGAAACCAAGGCGGTGAATGAGTTTGGACTATGAAATCTTCTATGATGTGAGGTGAATGATGAGTGATAGGTTTAGGCGCCGATGCTATAGAAACGTCACGTACATGATATCCTGTCGCTCATCACACACCCCGGAGTAAATATAATAATAATCTACACCAATTTTTTTAGTGTCAAGTGTAAGAAGTCGCCGGACAAAGAAAGTCGCCGGGATATCGACGAGAAGTACACGAGAAGTGTGCGATATGTCACCGGGAATGCATATTTTAAGGGCACAGAGCTAAGAGACCAGATAGCATAAGATCAAGACACCGAATTCGTTCATAGGAATACGAAACAAGAGCCAAAGGAAGAATAGGAAGACCAACAAAAACAGTCAACGCAAAACGACAAGATGGCCGATGTCAATAGGTTACACTTCAAGTAAGCTAGACCCCCATTCTTCTTAAAATCTAATTCGCTTAGAACATGTTCCTCGTGCCCGTTTTTAGCATGTATTGTTTCTTCTCCGCTTCCTACTGGGGACGAGGGGGGGGGGGACTCATGGACAAGGTTTGCCTGTGGAATTCATGCAGTGGTCTCTTCTCCCCCCCCCCCTAGCTTAGCTTGAGGTCATCTATGCTCTTCAAGTTGGGTTGAGAGATGAATCAAGTAGTTCTACCGTCAAGTAGTGCGATCCCATCCGAGAAGCATTGACGCATAATCGTCCCCTGTGGATCGATATATGCGGCATAGCGCGGCGCGGGCAACACACCAGATGACAAGAATGAAGAATAGTAGCTAAAACAACATCCCTGCAGCGAAGAGGCGTCAACATACGACTCCAAACATAGTAAGCTTAACGAGCGCCTTGCGGAAGAGATCCAAGTCCGATTGGACTGGATCGGTGTCGACTGGGCTAGCGACGACGACAGTGACGACGATAGTGACGACGATAACGATGAAGAAGTAAAATCGAAGCCGAACCGACCACGTAGGGAGGTCCGTTTACTTGACTATGCTTGCGGGACAGGCGCAATGTCTAGAGTAAGTTTCCTATTTCGTACAAGTACTTTCCTCTCAAGACTGGCATGCTAAGTTCTATCACGCCACTTCGAATGCATAGTATGATGATGGGTATTGTATATTGTAGTCGATCTTTTCTGACGTGTCTCATTAGGCCCTTGCTCCTTATACGACACAAAGTGTCGGTATCGACATTTCAGAAAACATGGTTGCCGTGTTTAACTCGCGTGCTGAGAACCAGGTATGTATAGGGGTACTTAGCTTAGGTAGGGAGGCATGTCTAAAATGTTTATACCTAGGACTTGTCCCGCGATGAGATGCATGCCGTAGTGGGAGATCTTGCAGCGGCAGATGGACCGCAGCCTTCGGAACTTTTCGCAGACCCCCGTTTTTTCAACTTTGATATAGCCACTGTCGGTGGTGGGCTCCACCACTTCGCGGACCCGGAGCTGGCCTCCGATCGCCTTGTCGAACGTCTACGCCCCGGTGGCGTCTTATTAATCTGGGACTTCCTACCGCACGAGCCTTACCATGGGCACGGGGTCATGCACCACGGTCTTTCCGAGGAAAGAGTCCGAAAGATGTTCGAGCACGCCGGCGCCGGAAAAGGCTTCTCCCTTGACGTACTTGGCTCCGGCATCGTGCCCGGCCAACATTCAGAGGAGGACAAATTGCTTCTAAAGAGACAAATATTCCTAGCTAGGGGAGAGAAAGCTGCATAAGTACGATGCTTCAATAAATACCTACCTACCTAGGTAATTAGCGAATTATGCATGTAAATAAATATATCGGGATGATATACACCGTTGTTTACTCAGCTATGAATGGTTGAGACAAGCAATGAATATTGTTACGCATGAAACTACACTCTAATAACTGATTTGAGACGTGCATGAGGGCTTGAATGGCTATTTTAGACTTATAATCGCAGTCTTCGCAGCGAATTCCGAATATTTGAGGTCAGAGGTTACGTGAGTACTTCAAACCCCCCCTAATCCGATGAGCGTAATCTTACCAGCTACGGCCCAGATGTTCTCCAAATTGAAATCCGACGACGAAACTGAATACATAATAAATAGTATGTCATCTCTAAGCTATTTAATTTGTTCGGCCAGGAGACCATGGGAAGCATCGCAAGGGCTTTACTTCAGGGGTAGTAGATTAGATACGTAGGTGGTGTTTAGGACTGAGTGGTTAACAGATTCATTTGGAACAACCTTCCGGTAGAGGGCGAGACTTAAATACTATAGATACCTATGAAAAGAATAGTTCTTATATATTAGAAGAAATTGTGATGTTGTGTTTATTTACAATGCCCCCCAAGATGCGCGCTTTCGAGGATTACGTATCTTCCCCCCTTTTTGGCTGTTGGGCTTTGCTAGTCTACGACTGCGGCGTCGTCGATGGTACCGGACGCATTCTCCTTTCTAACCGCGCGAAGTGGGAGTTTCCAAATGCCGAGGAGCATCGACATCAAGGTATTTATTTTTTGCTTGGGTGGACGTTCATCGGGTGGTGGGTGACATGGTCGGCTATGCTATGCGAGGACAGACGGCAACGGGTTGGTCTCTTGGAAGTCTGGTGTCGATGCCTTACTCTATCATTCATTCAGTCACTGGCTGCTTATGGGCTCAGTACACGCGTTCCGCGGATGCTAGCAATGAAGGGGCTAGTCCCCCGAGGCAAGAGGCAATTGTAGTCAAGGTCTATTTGATGGCAGCTCGTACAGAAAGCTTGCTGCTTAACTAGCTCAAGTAACAGGCTATCTATCTTCCTTAGTTCTCTTGCACGCTCGACTCGCAACGACCCCTGAGAACCGCAGCATGCATCTGAGTGCTGCTTGCCTACCTACCTACCTAAGGTATATATGAAGTCATCCAGAAGAATATAAGATAGAGATATTAGAAGCCCCGTCCCCGTCATCTCTTCTCACATCCGGATATTTCTCTTGATATGTATTTTTCTGATCTACCCTTTTGCGTATCTCCCTAAGCCTTGACATTGCTTATATGCTTCTATTACCAAAGCTTGGCCAACCAGCACGCCTAGGTAACTGAGGTGGTTCTCTCAAAGACTCGTATTAAACCGCAACCCAGGACTTGTTGAATATATATATTTGCAAGTAGCCGCGGAGATTCAAGACAGGAAAACCCGCTGAACATATGAACTAGGTAACACATTTTACTCGCGTCAGCGTCTTAATGAGGTGATCCGAAAGCTACCTACCTTAGGTACTCTGCAGTCTAGACGATGGGACTCTAGGATATAGAAAATAGAAAAGACGAGAAAGGACAGTGTAAAGCCGGTAGTGTCAGATTAACGGATGTTATACGCCTATCGTGCGCGGATAGTAATGACGAAGAAACACCGTGTTGTGCATAGTAACAACCTCCTAGATAGGTTACCTAGGCAGTAATAGCAACGCCGACAGATCGAGTCGGCATCCTTCTATCTACCTCCTACCTTTTTCGTGGTGTAGCGGTTTGGTAGTTATCCCCATACTCTCTCACACTAGATTCAAGGACGGTATTAATAATAAGCAATAACATCTTCATATGAATAGATAGGGGCTATTACCGCGTCATCAACTCAAAGCTCTAAAGCTACCTAATATATATCTAGACATTAGTCAACATGCACTTCCCCAGTAGTTTGACTTGGGAGAACCGGAACGACAAAAAAACGAGAACAAGAGAGCACTCCGACTCGGAAGAATACATATTACGTTAATAATTAACTATCTTTTGTTACTAAGTTGGGAGAGTAATACAGGGAAATTATTTAGTCCTTTATGTCTCAATTTAGGGATCTCTTCCATCGTAGACAACAACTCCCCTCAAGAACGGGCACCCCCTTCTTCTTCTTCTCTTAGGTACCTACCTAACCTTAGGCAGATCTGTATACTGTACCTAAGAAAAGACCTCCCCGTGCCCCGTCACATTCTCTCTAGACGGACGTATTATCCGTAGCAGGGATCTCCCCGAGAACATAGCTGCCCGTGTCCTCGTCCCTCTTGGCATCGAAGCACCGCTCGGCGTAGATCCCCCGTGCGTTCTTCTCCTGCCACGCCTGGCTCAGCCGACGCACCACGACGGGCTTCCACCCGCCGACGTTGATGACGACGCTCTGCCACGGTTTCCCGCGCTTGTTCTGGGTCAGGACCGACAGCGTTCGCAAGGCGGCGTCGTAGTCCCGATCCGTATTGTCCTTTACCTCGTCGTGGGCCCGCCAGGCCGTGTGCGTGTGTAAGACGAGCTTGGTGAGCCGAGGGAAATTACAAAGTGCTTGGAGGAATAGGTTCGGGTCGCAGACGGTTGCGTCCATACCCAGCTCGAGAAAGTTGAGATAGGCCAGCGTGGTAGAAAGCTGATTGAGATCTTGGATCTGCATCGTGGGGTATTGTTTGGTCTCGTCGCCAAAGCCGACGTAGTCCCGGAAACTCAGGGCTTGGAGCGAATCCGTATGGCGGAGAAAGGCATCTATCGGAAATAAGTTCGTATGACACGTGATCGTGATCGTACAAAGGGCCTTAATGCCTTGTACCAGCCTGTGCAAATCCCTTGTCGCATCTTCGCGTCGGTCTGGTGTATGTGTACTGAAGTCCTCACAATGGAGAGTTTCGAGGTCGCTGAGTTCCGCAAAGGGTACCGAAGTTAGGAAGTGATATAGGGGTACGTCGATAAGGGTTAGCTTCCGTAACTGAGAGAAATTCCAATGTCTTTGGACTTCGTCGGCATCATGGTTCCAGTCGTAGGACCGTAGCAATATTTCCTCAAAAGGCGGTAGACGTTCATTGCCTCTAAAGGAAAAGCTTGTCCCTTGGCCGCGGCCGTTATAGCTGATAGTTCTTGTGCCTTGAGCGCGAACAAGGAATTGTTTCAGCGATTCAACGGTTTCGGCGAGTGTTGGGCTCTGCATCTTGAGAGAAACGAGGTTACTTGCTGGGATATCCTGGGCGTAATTATTATATGAGCCAGTATAAATGTCCTGTAGAGGCAGGTCTTCAACATATATCTTCGTCCTGTCAATTTTGAGATGATAGGGGCTTAATATATTAGAGGGTGTCGAAAAAGCAAAGCTTGAGTTTATAAACGATCGATTTCCCACGTAACGCCATCTTTCAGAGTTAGTCATTTTATTTGAGAACAAGCAAAAAGATTGAATACCTTAAAGAACAAAGTCTTTGTACTCTATCCAAAACCCTCTTGGTGTTCTGGGCATCCAGGTTGCTTCTAGTTTCAACGTGTCTAGTGAATAAATATAAATCCTCCAAGTAGCCAGGGAAATATGTTTCGGCTAGGGGATCGACTATATTCTCATTGAGACGAATAGTTTCAAAGTAGATGGGCCTGATGACTGCTTCGAGTCGTCTAGATAACTGACGAGCATCAGCCAGCGTCCGGGGATCAACATCTCGTAACTAGAGAAGTATAAGGTCAATTTTGCTAGTCTCCGGATAGAGAAGAGAATAGAAAATAGGCGGGTAGGGTAGCACGGTACATGTTTGAATATAATATGTAATAATTCCGTACTAAGGTTATCAAAGAGCAGCCTGGTATTATTTGTCATGGCGTCTGTTGTGATGAGTTGGTTGTGATGAGTCTTCCTTCTCTTAGAGTGAGTAGAAGATAAGCTAACGGTATAAGTCATGATAGCGAGTCCTAGTTATTAAAAAGATATAACGAATATTATACCAGCTCAACCGTATATTAGAGTAATGTGGTAAATAACAAGGTGAAACAATACAATATGACAGGTGACAAGAAGAAAAACACTAGCAGTCAGGTCGCGGTTGGGTCATGTTAGGATGAGAGAAGGTTTATCAGATGGAAGGGCTAATGAGAAAAGTGGTATAAGCGAGTGCGAGCTCGAGCTCGAGCTAAGGTTGTGCCAATTGGGAGAAGCCGCTAAACCGGCCATGGTCAAGATAGCGAAGGGAGAGAGTGTGTGTACTATAGAGTGATAAGCGGTACTATGTAAGCTTAGGTATGTATGTTGAGATACGTGTAAGTCTCTACCTTTCAGGTAGGTACCTATCAGGTCCAGTCTTCCCGCTCAGCTCTGGGACCTTTTGGGGTAGACGAGACGGAAGCTAAGTTAACGAAATTAAATGGGCAAGCTTAGCGGGAACAACCGTCATCCTCGTAAGATTCTGTAGCCTAAACTTGCTATTTGGAGTGGAAAGCTACTTAGGTAGTAACTCTTAAGAAGATCAGACGGGATGGAATATTCTTGGTAACCAATGAAATATCCATGATGGCTCGGTCCGAACTTGCGCTATCCAGAACGGTCTCGGTTCGAGTTGGAGCATAAGAGCATTCCATACGTTGAATTTTTTTTTTTTTTTTAAAAAAAAAAAAAGGATGCGAAGGATGCAATATCTACTCAGCTCGCGTGCAAATTCGCAAGTTTCGCCAAATAGAGACAACCCCACATGGCGCTAATTAATCGCTAAAGCCCGTTTCTGTTCTTAAAATGCGCTCGGTGAGGCTGCCGATTTCTCTTTTGGCCGCTACGCAAAAAGCCACGGGCGGCGCTCGGAGCTGAACCGAACCCCACCGCTTTCACACGTGGATGCTTGAGTAAGAAATACTTGATCTCTTTTAACTATAACTAGTTAATTACTTAGGTAGGTAATATAATGAAATTGATTTTATGGTATCTTCTCTATTTCGTGTCAAGTACTTTAGGTGCTTGACCCATTCACCTCTTTTACGAGTGCTAATCAATAATGTATAATACTTGAATAATAAGCTTTTATTGGAGTATTGCTAGGCGCTGTTGTATTACTTACTCCATTAGGAAATAGCCAAGACAAAAAAAAGAAGGGGTCCAGCGATCTTAAGGTGTGTAACACAAACAAGCAACCACGTGCAAAGCAAAATAGCTAGCTAACTAATTAACAAAGTAACACAAACCAGCACGTTTTAAAGAAGCGGGGGGGAAGGAAAGAATACATAACGCAAGATCGGGATCTAATCAGTGGCTAAGATCGGACAAACCAAAGCGGTAAGTGGAGACGAGTGGTCAGGGGTTTTAATCGTTAACGGAAGGTAAAATGCGTTCCTGGGGGAGAAAGAAAAAAAAAAAAAAAAAAAAAAAAAAGCGACAAATGCGGTTTTGTTTGCGACCGGGACGGGTCAGCTTTCAAGGACCCGCCAGAAAGGTTCGTCCGGCTCTGCCCGCATCGTCCAATCGCAACTTTGCCCCTGAGAGGATCCCCGCCGGGTCTTTTTGCGGGGCGCCGCCTGCTGTGTTACATGGTGTACATTATTCGTTCGTACCTACCTAATTAACCACCTATCAGAAAATCCATACAACGTCCACTATTAGCATGCAACCCAAGTTGTTCGTTGTTCGTTTCTAGATCACCAGTGTTATTGTTCTTGGCCGATCATATAAACAAAAACCCCTGTAAATATGATAATCAATTACACTTGTTTTGACATATAGTAGTTAATAAGGTACCTGTTAATGTACATTGCTTGTTGAAAAAGACGTAAACTTTAGCCGGTTCGTTCCCCAGAACTAAATACCTAACCGGCCATCATCAGATATCTATCTACCCACCTGCCCACATAGCTACCCGGTACCTAACCTACCTAAACTTTAGCCAACCAGCCCAGCTTCACGGGAAAGATGCTGTAGTTGCCTTAGGTGGGTAGCTTAAAGAGAACCCCTAGATAACAAAAACGGCGTCTTTTCTTTTTCTACATAGTAAAACGCTCGCTTTGAAACAACGGGGCTCTAACTAGCACCAATATTTCCACACCACTTAAAATGGTCAGATCCCTTACTATTTATTAGGTAGCTTAGCTCTACTTGCTAAATGCGTATTGTAGCTTCAGAGACCAAGGTGTCTATGTACCTCTAGGTTACCTATCGCCGTATGCTGTCTATTTAAGGTATGATGATGTACCAGCTCTACTAAGCCAGCCAAGCCCCCCTTCTCTTACCTATTAAGTAACTACATAATGCAGTCTTCAACCATTGTTTTCCCAGTAGAATACGATGGTGACCGTAATATCAAGTCTTACAGCATCTTGTATGGCTTATCTCTCTCTTTCTCTCTTTCTGAAACTTCCTCTCCCTCCACCATGAAAGCGGAATATACTCGTAGCCACGATCGTCAAGTTACTACCTCCCCATCGTTATTCATGTATCGCCATCTGAGAAGTCATCTCCGCAAACGAGCGAGTGCTGCTTCGTATACAATTCCCCTCCTCTTCCTAAATATGCCAATATCATCCCAATAGTAACACTCAATAATATCTACCCAAGCCTCGTACGCACCTAGCTTACCTACACTAGGTAGGTAACCGATACTTTTCACTCGGTACCACCACTCAACCAGCACAGAACTCAAGCACCGAAGAGTTAGCAAAAGCTTGTATGAACGATCGAACTCAAGTCTTGACATTTGGGGAATCTCGTTTAAGACGGAAAGCAGCAAGAACAACAACATAAATAATAAACAAGGCATCACAAAAGGCTCCAAATCAAACGCAACGACAACAACAGAGCACCGTGGCTGCTCCGCAGCCTTTTCTACCGCTCCACGAAGATTGAATCTTACATAGGTAGACACCCTTAATCTAGACATGGTAGAGAGAATATGCAAACACGACTGCTTGCAACCGACTAATAACGGTAAATCGGCTCCTTGTTCTTCGGAGCTGTGGTCTCGTAGTCACTCACGTCGTCGCGCGAGCGCCTGTCATCAGACGAGGAATCTCCCGCAGCCCCATGCATCACCTCCTTCCCGAGCGCACTTTCCTGCCTACCTAGATAGCTTGGTGTCGTCTCGAAACCGGGATGGAAGGGTTCAAACGCTAACCGCTGTTCTTCGATATAGTTCGAAGATGCCCCACCACCAGATCTCGACCCACCGGCCGCGTGGGACCTTGACCCCGAGGGCTCAGGATCTCTAAACGGATCGTCATCTTCGATAGCGGGCGTATGTGTTCTCGACGGCCCCGCTACAGCAGGCTCATATTCCCTTTCTTTACCTTTACCATTCGGCTTTCGAGCCGGCATGGGAGGCGGTTCTAAGCCACTCTCGTTTCGCTCCGACTCTATAGGGCTCACGGAAGCTCGAGATGGAGCCTGACTTTGAGTCTGAGGATGTGGGTCCATAACTGCAATCAGTTTCCTCGCGTTCAACATAGCTCTCTGGTGTAGGCTCAATGCTGCCTGAAGCTGCTCGTTTGTGTCGATTAGGCTCTCCATAGTGTCATTATCAGGGGCTGGATCCTCGGCTGTCATATACATCTGTATGCTTCGGCTCGCGCTAGTACAACGATCCGCAAATTCCTTAATCAAATCGTTGCTGAGTACTTCAACCGGCGGGGTATTAGTAACGACTTGCTGTAGCAGATTCGCGGATGTTCGCGCTTCTTCTAGTCTACTAGCCAACTCGACGGGATCCGGGAGTTTGCGGTTCGAATGGGCTCGCGCGAAATAGTTCTGGGAATGGGGGTTGATAGGAGGCTCGGTCATGGAGCGCGTCACCGGCGGAGGACGTCCCTGATTAATCAAGCAAGCATTAGCATGGACTAGGCAAGGAAAGACGCGGATCAAACATACTCCATATAGTTGCTGCGCTCTCTCTTTCTCCTTCCTCCACATAGTAATGAGAGGTGTCAACCCCTCATCATACGATTTTGTGTTCTCGAAAGAGTCTAATGTCTCCATCATCATCTGTCGCACACTCGGGTCGCGTACTGATCTCAACAGCTCTTTTGAAGTATCGGTAAATTTCGAATCCAAATTTCTAGTAAATGTTTGGCCAGGGTTATCAGCAAGGATGCGAATGAGCATGATGGCATTATATTGGTAAGAGGGCTTCGTCCAATAGTCCCTTTTCAGGTATTTTCGAATGAGGCGCGCGCATTCTGCAGCAGCAGCAGGAGATGACTCGGCAGCGTCGACGATGGGAGGCAGATAAAGCACTTCGTCTCCGGAATTATTTGAGTCGGATTCGCAGAAGGATTTCTAATCGAAAGTCAGGATTGTTCGGTTTCACTTTAGGCAAGAATTGGATTGAGTAGGTGCGGACGCACCACACAACGGCAGGCCGTAGTCTCGGGCCTTTCGCCTTGAGGAACTTCGGGAGTGTTAGGGGCTTAAAAGAGACGGTTATATGTTAGCAGAAAGTATAAATCAACAAACCCGGCGAGTTTGCGCAGGCGGAATCTTTTTAAGGTGAGAGACATCAATCTTACCATCCGCAGACTTCTTCTTTCTTATGGTGCCAAGCACCTTGCTCATCTTGAGCGACTTCATCGGAACTTGCGATTGCTTCCCCTTACCGGCGCATATGCTGGTAGTTCGAAAGTTGAGTCGAGAAAAGTCGAGGCTAGCGAAACGCGGTTATAGTGTAAAAGTCTCTATCTGGAATTTGAGTACGTGGCGATTCGCGATAGATGAGGCACCACGCTAGGCTGGGAAGCTAAACGGCCCCTAAGGCTGTCAGCGGTGATAGTGCGGTGGTGCGATGGTGCGATGATGGTCGCAGTTTGGTTGTATAATGCAACTTTGAATCCAGGTAGAGTTTCAACGGTTTGGGGGCTGCAGGGTGACGAGATGATTATATCGGCTGGTTGAATGGATGAGGCAGATAAGATTTCGTTCCAATTTGTTGCCTTTTGGGGTTGGTGGGATCAAAAAAAAAAAGGACAGTATAGATTTAGATTAAAAAAAAAGGTTGTGTCAGGAGTTAAGGCAATCAATCCCCAAATTCTCCATGAAATGGGGAGGGACGTCGTGTCGGCCAATGGATATAAAGTAGCGGCGCTCCACTGCCTAATCCAGTATGTACTTCAACTATGATGCCGCGCGACTGCCTAGAAGCTCTTCAGACCCAGCGGCCCCAGTTGCCACATTTCTCCAAACTAGTATTTCTTGGTCCAATCATAAGTTGCCTATGCGGGCCGACAATGTTAAGGCAGGATCATCATGCATCACTCTTAATGGTGCACAGCCTCAAAATTATACGCAATGAGAGTATACATGTGACATATATGCAGGTGCACCTAACAGAAAATCATATCGGCAAGATTGGATACACACTTACTATGTAATCTAGACCCCCTATTATCTTTAACCCCCCCGCGACACGACAGCGCAGTCAATTTCGTTGGTAGAACCAACTCAGCTGTTCTACTTTCTAGTTGAGCATTTGACTCAACGAATGTTCTCATAATCTTGGCGTTCTTCATTGAACGCGTGGCACGTCAGCATCTCTTCATTGTACACGCATTGTCCTACGCATTCAATCGTCAGATGATTATTACATAGTAAATACCTTAGGTACCCAAATAAGTTAATTTTATTGCTAGATTGTTATATATTGAAACCATCCGCAAATCAAAGTCGTACAGTGTCACTTTTATATGCTGACAAAGCATCGTGGCGTACCTTTTATAGCCCGCCCGCCCCCCTTTTTTTTCTAGAAAACATCAATTCAACCTAGTTACCAGCCTACCTTAGGTATATATGTAACATTCTCTTATAGACTTTTCCCAGCAACAACATCTTGTTCTATAATATATTATATTATCACAGAATTGCACTTATATGAGGCGACTTTTTTTTATCTTTGCCATATTTAATTGCAGCGTAAGGGAAGTGAGTGGGTGAGAATTAAGATATGATATCTGTTATCATACCTGTTAGTTACTATAAAATTCATACTAAACGAACTCAATGCCAAGTAATCTTTATCGTCTCATTTTTTGGCTAAAGAACTACGTGGTCAAGAACAGTCTAGAGGCAATAACTCATGAAATACATCATTCAGACAACATCTACGAGGCAACGGAATTATCTCTTCAAAACGGCCTCGGATTAGAAAACTCTGGTTCTCTAGCTCATACATACAAAGCAGCAAGACAGCCAGCCAGCCAGTCAGCCAACACCCCTGACGGCATATGTCCCTCCGAGCGCGCCCTTTCAGTAGCCTGCCGTCTATGAAGGGGTGGAAAAACAAAAAGCAAAGCCTAGCTCATCTACGCCATACGCCCCTAGAAATGCCAACGCAAGAGTGTCATGTAGTATACACAATGGCGAATCCCCTTCGTATCCGCCGTATCTATCCGAGACCTCGGAGACCTTCCACTAGTCGAATAAATGTGCAAAAGAACCATAACTCTGGGATTATATCGCCAATGAGTCGGTAAAGGAGATGCTGAGGCGATGAAGCCCCAGGTGATATTGGTGTATTATTGGTCCATTCTTCAAGGATTCGGGCTGGTTTGAAGCCCCACATTATACGAATAATGACCGTGTTTTCGCTTCAGTTGCCATGTGATGAAAGGGCCACTGTTAATAGCTTATACGTGAGGATATCTCACGAGTGAACAAGACGAATTCTGCTCACAGATCGGGGTACGTCGGCTGCTTTTTGGTCGGGCTCAACATCATTCTCAACTTCCTCGACTTCATCATCCTTCGAGGGTGCTGCTGTCTTGCTAGTACCGGCCATTGGCAAATCCGCATCTTCTTCTTCCTCTTCAGGCACATCCTCGGAACCTGCTGCGACTATTGTAGAACTCGAGCTGCGCGATGCGGGCTTTCGAAGAGTGGTGCGGAAAGCCGCCGGTAGCTTCGACTGTACCTTAGCCTTACTGTAGGTTCTAACTACAGTCTTCGACTTTCGGACCGCTGATGTCTTACGACTCGGAGAACCCTTCGGGCCCAGAACCGATTTCGTGTTGACGGAGATTGTCGACACGCTACGCTTAATAGCTGTGGCGGCACCTTTGGCGACGCCTTTAGCAGCACCCTTAGCAGCTTTAAGACCAGCAGTAGAGAGGGTGCGCTTAACACTCTGCGCCTTCACTCCCGTCGCGGTCTTGATCTTGCGCTTCTTCGTTGCGCTGCCTTCTGCTTCTTCCTTCTCACCGAGCGCCTCCTTGAGCTTCCTCTTTCCACCGCTGGCACCCTTCTTGCCGGCTCCCGTCTCCTTGGGCTGCTTCGGCTGCTTCACTTCCTTGGGCTTCGGACCCAGGACTCCTCGACAATTCGAGCTACCGCAGAGACACTTTTGGACGTTCTTAGCAGAAAAAGGGTCAAAGTTGTAGTCGTACGTTAACTCCTCGCCTGTCATGATGGGGCGGTCACCCGCGAAGAGGGCCATGCGAGGCTGTCCCGAGACAATCCACTTAATCATCCGGCAATTTGGTGAACATGAATGATTGACGAAACGAGCGATACTACCAGTCGTAGCGTCAATGATCATGTTCTGATCAAACGACATTAGGTAATAACACTAAATTTGTCAGTGATTTGTGCCAAAACAAAATTTCCATATCCAAAGTCCATAATGAATCTTACCTGATTGTCCTTGTACTTCTCATTCATGCGCCGATCGCACTCCTCTTCGGTGATAATCTCACCGGTATACTCCATGATGATTTGATTAGGCTCAAAGCAACGGTTGGCACGAATGCCATAACCACGATCCGAAGTCTTGATAACCTCAACTCCTACGCGGTACTTTCCTCCTTCCTTAATCCGCTCCTGGAGTCTCGCAAAAGCGCGGTTCTGGCATAAGCCCGAGCCAACATTACAGTTGGTCTCATCACACTCGTAGAGCATGATTCTATTCTGGCAACTCTCCCCGCATCCATCTTCCGGGGTGCATACACACTTAGACTGGTAGTCCTTGAAGTGGGGTGTCTTCTTCCAATAAGCCGCGGCATCACCAACGAATCGATCTAGTCAGATATTAGCGAAAACTTGCGCAACAAAAATGCAATGCAAACGGAATAAAAACGAAGACCAATACACCAAATTCAATGCAGAAATGATGAATGTATGGGGTACACATAAACTTACTCTTCGTAATTTTCTTCCATTCGTCAGGCTTGGGCTGTCCCGGAGGAAGAGGGTTACAGATGTCAAAAGGCAGCTTAAAATCCCTGCCCTGGATTAATGTGCGCATACCATTGTATATGGGCATAGGCAAAGTGGTGTTCACCTTGCCGCTCGGCATCAGCTCAGGCAATTGTGCCAAGCTCTTCTTTTCTGAGAGTGTAAGTCCTTTATATATATCCTGCGGGGTCTCCTGACCAGCGTATAGGCCACGATCGAGATATTTCTTAACCCGTCTCTTCTTAACAACCGGGCCAAGTTCAACAGGTTCGGGCTCTGGAGCAGTAACCTCTGGCGTCTCTGTTGCAACCTTCGCCTTCTTTCGGGGGGGTTGCGAATCTTCCGGAGATACATACTTTCCATTAACCCAAGTGGTGTATACGACAGGCTTCTTATCAATTCCTGCAAACTCGTCCGTATCTTGCAAACGGCGCAACTCACGCGACATCTTGCTTAAACCCTTCTCAAAAGTCTTCCTACCCCTCTTTCCCAGAGTAGATAGTTTGCTTGCTAACGTCTCCGCTTCCACACCTGTCGAACGCGTCGAAATGCGTCTCGCGGGAACGGCATCTTTTAGCGTAGAAAGCTTGGATTTGGTAGACTTCATAGATGCTGCATCATTATCCACTTCCTCTTCGTTCGCAACTTGAATCTCGCCGGCAGTTGTATGGCGTCGTCTTCGGTCAGATACGATGTCGCCTTTGGATCGTCGCTTGCCATGGATAGCAGTGCCAGCTAATTTTGCAAGGTTGTATATAGGGGTGCTAAGGCGCTGTCGGCGCGAGCGTCCATTGGCAGGTGCATCTATGACAGGTGCATCTAGGGCAGTTTGCGCAGGTGACTCGGAAGGCTGAACTGGGTTCGGAGGGTCGGCAGACGCGACAATAGAGTCGGCCACCTCGGTGGTCGCGTCGACCTCGGCCGAGTCAGCAGGTTCGCTAACAAGGCCAATTGGGGTGACATTGTCGTTCTTGGATATATCTGAGGCCAAGCTGGCTGTGTCGGCAACGGTGCTAGGGGGTGTAGAGCTAAGAGACGCGGCGGCAGAGAAAGTGTCGGCAGCAGCACCAATGCTGGACTCTGAAGAGAGTGCGCGCGTCGGCGACATGGTTGTAGGTGAGTCCATAGTCGGGCGACGCGACAATGGGTATGGCAATTCAGCCAGATAAGATGTATAAAAGATAACGACGCGTCGAGTATGTAGTTGTTTAGGGAAAAGACTAATAATGGTGGAAAAGAAGGGTTATGTAAGGTGTAAAGTAAAGGGTGCGTTTAAAGGTAATATGTTATGATGGTAATGGGGTGTGAAAGAAGTAAAGTAGTATCACTAAAAACCGTGGATGTACCGTAGTACTACTCTTATTCTGTAATACGCCAAGTCGAATTGGTAAGGAACTTGCCAATGCTTAAGGTTTAATTTTGGGTTAGTGTTGGGGTGAGAATAAAAAAAATAAAAAAATAAAAAGAGGTAAAGAGTAGAGTTAGAGGTAGGTACCTAGTAGCAGTAGTAGTAAATGGTGGTAAAAAGACCAATTAACTTGGGCCAATGACTGAGCTTATCTGTGACCCTTGGTGGCTTCCCACTTTGGATATTAAGTACTTGAGTACCTACACACAAAGAACAAGACCGGTCGCGTTTTGCGGCACGACCAAAGAGAATACCGAAGGTAGCTCTTGAATATATCTATCTAGCAGTGTTAGGAAACGAGATCCAAGAGTGCATGTGTAAAATAGCAAAGTTGAAAAAAAGGGGGGAGGGGGACTAGGCGGCTTCTTACCTCTATGTGTGCGTGCTGGGTGCGTTTTCCTGTTCGCGTGTTTCGTGATAGTGTTTCCGATTCCTTTTTTATTTTCCCCTGAAAACCCAAAATCCAAAGGATTGGAAGGTTCTAAGAAGGGAAAGTTTGGCTGTTCTTTGGGGAACGAAGTCAGTTTGGAGAAAAAAAAAAAAAAAAAAAAAAAAAAAAAACTAAAAGTTGGTGTCTGGGTTGAAGAAAACGAGTGTTCTCAAAGTTGGCGAATGATTGAAGTTGTAAAAGTGGAAGTTTTGGGCGGTTGTGGTAGGAAGGTAAGGTTTGGAAGATTGGAAAGATTGGAGATGAAAGAAAGGGAGAGAGGGGAAGAAAAAAAATGAACACTTGTGGTTGAGAAGGACACTAGTAACCTAGCAGTTACAGTTTGCAGTTGCGGTAGTACTTACGTATGCAATGAATGGATGAATTATCATAAAAAAAAAAGTTGCTGAGAAAGTAGGCGAGGTAATCAAGTACCAAGTATTGTTGCCTCAGCTGGCATTAACAAATGGCGTTGCAGTGTGCAGGAAGAAGGGGGGGAAATAATAAAAAAGGTGATGTGGTTGGGGAGTACGATGTTGGCGTGGTGTAGTTGTGCGTGTGTGTGTATTTGTGAAAAAAAGATGAAGATGGATAGTCGTGAGAGAGGAAGAGAGAAAAGTAGGTACTCGGATTACGTGCAAGATGAGAATTGTACCTAAATTGAAAAATCGGGGAAGGAAGAAGAAAAGAAGAAGGAGAGAGAGACTCAGCGTGGCACTGGCGTTCAAAAGGTAAATTGCTACATACATCTAAGGCAGGTATATATAACGAAAAAAATGGCTGGGGGGGGGGGGGGGGGGGGGGGTTTATTTTAAGATTTAAAACTGAACAAGGGAAAAGAATAACTGGTAATATTATTAATTATCGAACATAGTGTGAAAAACTAACCCCAAACACAAAT